AGATGCATTATGTAAAGGTACAATTCCCAATGAGAAATGTAATTGTGTTGTATACCTACAATATACCAATGAAAGAATTTAGTACAAAAAAAATAAAAATAAAAAAAAATGTAAGCTTCAGTTAGCCCTGTAAACTTTTCATAAATTCAATCACAGCTTAAAAATCAGAGTAGAAATTTGGAAACTTTAGAGTAAATGCATACTTATGGAATCCTTTAAGATTTTCCAGGTTGCAGAATCAGTAAAATAAAATTGGATATGGAGTAAGTGAAATCTGTTTTAAAGAATATTCTAGGAGCTGGTGATGTAGTTCAAAGGCATAGTGCTCACCTAGCATGCATGAGGCATGGTTCAAATACAGCACCAAAAAAAGAAAGAAATTCTACACCATCACTCTTGGCTTATGTTTCCTATGGGTTAAGTCCCTCTGAGGATTATTTAAAAATATTTTCTTCCCCATAGGAAATTAGTAATTATTTTAATGTATAATTATATATTACAATGTATAAAACATTTGGATTTGTGTGTGTGGTACTGGGGATTGAAACTAGGGATAACCAGGGATTTAGCTCAGTGGTTGTGCCACCTGCCTCGTAAACGCAAGGTCCCAAGTTCAATCCTTGATACCAAAAACAAAAAAAAGAAACTAGGGGCACTCTACCACTGAGCAACATCCCCAGCACTTTTAATTTTTTTCATTTTAAGGCAGTGTCTTGTTCTGTTCAGGTGGGACTTGAACTTCCAATCTCCCTGCCTTAGCCTCCCATAGTGCTGGGATTACTGAAAAGTTACTTTTAAGTCATGGCTATACCAAATCATGAGTAATTTTAACTTTTTACTTACATGGCTCTTATTTACTTAACACTGAGTATACCTCATTTTTAAGAAAAATATTTCAGTTAAAAGAGAGTAGGAGAAGAGTAAAAGAGATATAAAATATTGTAGAGAAATAATAAGATACGTACACATAGATAAGCACATAGAGCCAGAGATTCAGATAAATCTGTGTTAATCAGCACCCAAGGGGTTTTACCTAAATTCCGAGCATTTCTTTAGAGACTTTATGAAAAGTTTGAAATTTTTATAACAAAAGATTAAGATGAGTTTAAAAAGAAAAATGTTAACATACAAATCATTTTTTTCTGCTCTCGTTGTGAGATTTCCTAGGTTGCCTAGGTTGATGTTCATTTTCTAAAATTCATTTGAAAAATAATTTTTCAGTGGCATAGTTTTCACTTCTTCTGGTTTGTAAAATTGGCAGAAAGAATCCATCTAGTGTTCTGGGACTATGCTTAGAGTCCACAGTGGTAGTTTTCCTGCTGTGAATAAACTTCATTCCTTTTTATAATGATAACATATACAAAGCTAAACCCCCAGAAAAATTAAACTTGATGGAATAAGTGATGGATTCCCCGGCTCTCTGTACCTGAGAAATAGCTGATCAAACTTCACCAGAAAGGATAGAGCTAGCCTGTTTTGGAAGTATTCAAATTTGAGATACTAGTGGTCAAGGATAATAAAAAGAGATCCAAAAGAGCTTCATCCACTTGTCTGTAATCCCCGCACTCAGGAGGCTGAGGCAGGAGGATCACCATGAGTTCAAGGCCAGCCTGGACTACATAGTAAGTTCAAGGCCAGCCTTAACTATGTAGCAAGACTTTGTCTCAGATAAATCAACTTCATTTTTTTTGTAGGGTTCCCTATTAAATTCTAAGCCTTACAGACATTTGAAGAATATTTGAGGGTCTCTACTTTTTTTTCCCATTTGAGACAGGTTCTTTCTGTGTTTCCCAGGCTGGTCTAGAACTCCTGGGCTCAAGCAGTCCTTTCACCCTAGCCTCCAGGTAGCCAGGAGTACAGGTAGGTTTACCACCATTCCTGGCCCTGCATTTAATGCATGATGAGTACATCTAATAAATTTGATTTGTGAGACTTAGAATCTAGCCATATATAAAAAGTATTTGAGCTCCCTTTTGGTTGACCACTTCCGAGGAGGTTTCATGACATATTCAATAACCCCCTTGTTCATCAGGAAGGAGCTCAAAGAATAATCCAGTTAATTCTAAAATATGAAGGCAGTGAGTTTGACTTAGAGTGGTGAGTTTCCTGGGGTTCGGTAAAGAAAGGTTCTGGGCGGTGTCTAAAGCAGCAGGGTTTGTGCTTTAGACAAGGAGTAAGGCCTGGGATCCACACTGAGAGCACAGTCTACCTATAGATAGGACCAGTTATACTAGGAGTGAGTCAAGCAAATTGCAGCTCTTTGGGGTCAGAGTTTTACCTAACCTAAAACTTTTTTCACTAATTCATTTAAGCAGTTATTCAAACTCATACTGCCTTCAAAGCTTTCATAAGAATATGAATATTAACATTGATTTTATGTATTTTAGACTATTTGGTATATATTACTTGGAGTTCTTAAAGTTTTATTATTCTCATTAAGATAATTTTTCCAGTGTGTGTCTCTGTGTGTGAGGGTATTGGCTATTAAATCCAGGGTCTTCCGACTGAGCTACATCCCCAGTCCTTTTTTAAAATTTCAAGATGGTGTCTTGCTAAATTGTCCACACTAGACTTAAATTTGTGATCCTCCTGCCTCAGCCTCCCTGAGTGCTGGGATTACAGGTGTGTGCCACGGTGTCTGGCAATTTTTCCAGTTTTTTGTATCCATATTTTTCCCTCCTTCCCCAGTTTTTTGTCTTTAATACAGGAAGCTCTTGTGTGGCTAAAGGACTAGAGTAGTGGTGTTATGGGTGATGGAATAAGACAGCAGTTCAGGGTAATCTGAGGAAATCCAAAGAAATTGCTTGAAACTAATTGGCTGGGCTAAATAACACCTGTTTAAAGTAGAAATAGACCTATATGAATATTAAGAAGACAGTGATTGACTAGATTTCTCTCTCTTTCTCTTTTTTTTGATACAAGGTCTCAATATAATGCAGGCTGCCCTTGTACTCACTGTGCAGCCCAGGCCCACCTCAAACTAGCAGTGATCCTACTGACTCAGCCTCCCAAGTGCTGGGATCACAACCTCCTGAGTCCTGGGATTACAGCAGTGTCTGCCTGGCTTTGGATTTTTCTTCTTATTTGTATAGTTCCTTGTAATATTAAGAACTGAAGCCAGCTAGGTGTGGTGGTGCACACCTGTAATTCCAGTTACATGAGGGGCTGAGCCAGGAGGACTACAAACTAAGGCCAGGAGCTAGAGCAATGGCCCAGTGGTGGAGCTCTTGCTTATTAGCATGTGTGAGTCCCTGGGTTCAATCTCTAGCACCACCACCAAAAACAAAACAAAACAAAACAAAAAAACGCAAATGCTCTTTCCTTAGTGCTCATAATATTCTGTTTTAGGAAGTGGGAAAATGTTAACTTCATTGTATAGGAAAAAATTTAAAAAGCTGAATTTCAGAGAGGTAAAGAGGGTTTTTTTTTCTTTATTCATTTTGCAGGCATTTTAAAAAAGTAACTGTTATAAGCCTAATACTATGCTCTGAATTTTGTATTTTTTAAAAGACATCATTCCTCACTAAAAAGAAACAAAATCTACTTTGTATTTAAAAAGTTCTTCCAGCTAAGACCTTTAGTTTTCACTGTATCATCTGCAAAATGGAGCTATACTACTAACCAGTACCCTAATAATACTGTACAATGTGGTTTGTGCAGTGATTACCAAGCTTAAAACTGCCATATACACTTTGATCAGTGTAGCAGGTAGACATTTTCCCCTTGGATGAGCTTTAAGTTATCTCTTCTTTCCAGATTCTACACGTAGTTGTTTTCTTGAGAAAAATAAAGAATGTTTGAGTATTTGTCCTTATTACATATTACAGACTCAATATCTAAGTATAGCCTGCCTTATAACAAAACCACAAGTTCTTGATATATAACTTCTGAGGTTATTATTTTTTGCTATGACTTTGTGATTTCCCACCTGTAAAGTGGGAATAAGCAATGTCTACCTCACAGGGGTGTTGTGAGGGTTTATAGTAAAATTGTGTTAATTTCTGTCAGTATTATTGATAAAAACCAACAATATAAAAAAACTATTCTGGCCCAACGCCCTGCCCGCCTGGCCTAGGTGGCCCACCCCTGCTCGGAGCTCTGCCCGTGGCGCCGCGGACTTGCGCCCTCCCGGGGAAGGAGGAGGAGGCGGACGGAAAAGGAGGAGTTGCGGAGGGGAGGAGGGAAGAGCGCGGCAGTCGCGCCGGTGCTGGGCGAAGAAGCGGAGCCGGCGGCCGCTGGTGCTGTGCTGCTGCATTGGAATCTGCAGATGCGGACGGACGTGTGGAATAGGGAGCGCCCCGGAATTTAAACCGCCCCTGGAACCGCGGCAGGCCTCCATTTACAGTTTACTCCAGGAGTTGGCAACTTCCGCAGTTGGAGAGAAGAAGGAAAAAAAAGGGTAGGATATCTATAAAGGCCTGGAAGGCAGTGATGTGAACATCAGTAAACTCTAATGGTATCACTACGACATCTGGAAATTTTCTAGCAGAAAATGGCTCCAAAGGTTAAATGAAGCTGGAAAAATACAGAGATACAGCATTGAAGCCTCTCCAGATGTTTGGGGATAATATTCCAGAGAGAAAATTGATCCCTGTGGATTAAGGAACTAGTCATAATGAAGAAAATTAGTCTTAAAACCTTCCGGAAGTCTTTTAACTTGAGTAAAAGTAAAGAAGAAACTGATTTCATGGTAGTACAACAACCATCAATAGCCAGTGACTTTGGAAAAGATGATGCCTTGTTTGGTAGCTGCTATGGTAAAGATATGGCCAGCTGTGATATCAACAGTGAAGATGAAAAAGGTGGGAAAAACAGATCAAAAAGTGAGAGCCTGATGGGAACCTTAAAAAGGTGGCTTTCTTCTAAGCAGAAGCCAAAGGGCAAGGGCAGCACACCGTCAGGAAGCTGTGCCGATGAGGACACCTTCTCCTCCTCCTCAGCCCCCATGGTCTTCAAAGATGTCAGAGTGAAAAAGCCAATCAGGTCTACTTCCCTCCGCAGTCAGCACTACACCCACACGCCCTGGCCTCGCGGGCCCACAAACTCCGAGGAGACTTACATCAAAACGGAGGTCAGGGTCAAAGCCTTGGTTCACTCTTCCAGCCCAAGTCCTGCACTGAATGCTGTTCGAAAGGATTTTCATGACCTTCAGTCTGAAACTGTATGCCAAGAGCAAAATAATTCTCTTAAGAGTTCTGATTCTCCCAATGGAGATTTGCATTTCCACCTGGATGAACATGTGCCTGTAGTTATTGAACGTAAGCCCCAGGACTACATTCAGTATACTGTGCCTTTAGACGAGAGGATGTATCCTTTGGAAGGATCACGTAGCTATTGTCTGAACAGTTCTTTGCCCATGGAGGTCTCTGCAGTTCCTCCTCAAGTGGGAGGGAGCTCTTTTGCTGAAGATGAGAATGAGGTAAACCAGGACCTAGTTGTTGCCCCAGAGATCTTTGTGGATCAGTCTGTGAATGGCTTGTTGATTGGCATCACGGGAGTCATGTTGCAGAGCCCCAGAGCAAGTCGTGATGATGTCCCTCCACTTTCACCTTTGGTACCTACAATGCAGAATAATCAAATCCAAAGGAACTTCAGTGGACTCACTGGCACAGATGCCCACGTGGCTGAAAGTATGTGTTGTCATTTGAATTTTGATCCATACCCTAACTCTGCTCCTGGGGTTGCAAGAGTTTATGATTCAGTGCAGAGTAGTGGTCCCAGGGTTGTGGCAAGCCTTACAGAGGAGCTGAAGAAACTTGCAAAACAAGGATGGTACTGGGGACCACTCACACGCTGGGAGGCAGAAGGGAAACTAGCAAACTTGCCAGATGGTTCTTTTCTTGTTCGGGATAGTTCTGATGATCATTATCTTTTAAGCTTGAGCTTTCGTTCCCATGGTAAAACACTTCACACTAGAATTGAGCACTCAAATGGTAGGTTTAGCTTTTATGAACAACCAGATGTGGAAGGGCACAGATCTATAGTTGATCTAATTAAGCATTCAATCAGGGACTCTGAAAATGGAGCTTTTTGTTATTCGAGGTCTCCATTGCCCGGATCTGCAACTTACCCTGTCAGACTGACCAGTCCAGTGTCACGGTTCATGCAGGTGCGTTCTTTGCAGTACCTGTGTCGTTTTGTTATACGTCAGTATACCAGAATAGACTTAATTCAGAAACTGCCTTTGCCAAACAAAATGAAGGATTATTTACAGGAGAAGCACTACTGAAAGACTGAGAACCCTGAATCGTGCACTTTGGGAAAAAGAAAAAGAGGTTGAAATACAGTTTCCAAACTTTTATTGCCATCAGAATACTTTTGCTTCCATAACTATTTTAGTTTTCTGTGTAATAGTCACCAATTTGCTTAGGGGTGGGGAAGTGTCAGTGAGGTATCTTTGGTTTATTTTGATTCTATCAAAAGGGATGTCTTGATGTTCTAGAAGTGTGAATTATTTTTCATTAATGTACAGAATAGTCACAATGTGAATTATCAAATTCTTATTGCCCCCCGGTCCTTTGCTGCTATCCACTGTGACTTTTATGCATTAAATGCACATTTCTTGTGTATTCAGCCCTAAGTGAAGTTGAATGAAGCTTATAAATGAAAATTGCTTTGCCTTTTTAAATGACCCATTTTGAGAAGATAATATTGAATAAACGTGTGTAATAAAACAATTAACATATGCACTGAACATGAGCTTTTAAAATCTCATACTTTAAAAAGATTGATATAGATTTATGAATTGACATAATCTTGGTTAATGGAATCCAAATCTGCAACATCTTTTACAAAACTTTTCTAAATTATTTTTAAGGTAGTGCTTTTTTTTTGGTTGTGAAAAGCTGAATTTCTCTGTTTCCTTCATTTTCATCTTGTACTTTGTGTATTTTAGTAAATGGCCTTACATTTAAAAAAAAAATTCTGTAGCTAAACCTATTAACTTCAGAGTTCCAACATGTAAATTCTAGAATGTGTTAGAAGCAGAAATGTACTATTTAATATTCAATAATTGTCAAAACTATTTTTACAAATGCTCTAGGAATAACAGTATTCAATTGCTTGAATTTCTATTGACTTATAGAGTAATTAGCACTTTTTTTTCTTCAGCCTGCAAGGGAGAAAACTATTGAAATAAAACTTTGCCAATTTCAGCTTTATTTAAATTTCCCTCAAATCTGTTGTTTTCACATGAAAAAGTAACAGAGATAATGAAGACATAGCATTTTCATTTCTTTGATGAAGATTATTTGAATAGTAGATAGGGATAGGAAATTGAACAAAGATATAGTAATTCATTAATATCTTTTAAATTAGTATTGGGAAAGCTTTCACAGAAAACCAAAGGAAGTACATATTAATCATGGAAAAAGATAATCTGAAAAATGTGTAATTTTATTAAAATTTATTTGTACTGTACAGGCAAATTTTGATGTTGTAACTCAGGTCCTAGATGATAAGTATCAATTTTTTTTGTAGTAATTGAGGTTACCAATAGGCCAGTGAAGAGTTTTCATAAAGTAACGTGTTTCTTTGTATGTTTTAAACTAAATATAGGTCTGTGGCATTTTAATATAATTTTTAAATTCTTAAGAAGGAAATCTGTAAATGATGATTCTCTGCTATATATATGTATATGGTTTTGGTTTTTGTTTTGTTTTGTTTTTGAAAACTAGTAAGGTTACATAGTCCTGAGCCTGGATGTCTTAAGTACAAGGAATCCCAAACTGTGATCTTTATCTTTAAGAACTAGATGACTCCATTGTGCTTAAGTAGGTGTCTGTGCCAGGCTAGATTACTTAGAAAATATTGCACCAGTGCAATTGACTGTAACTGTCATCAGGTCCTCTCTCTTATGCCAAATAATTTAGTCAGAAGAGATCAAAGTATAAACTTGAAATACTTTGAAAGAAATAGATCATAAAAACTTGTATAATAAAAAATGTTCACTGAAGAAATCATCAAATTACAAGTAATACATAGCAAATACAGGAGACTGAAATGATAATACATTGTATAAACTCTTTCCCCCTAATGTACTGTGAATTTTCTCTAAAAATCTTTTAGACAATTTGTCTCTTCTAACAGTCTTTGTAAATAGGGAGGGATGGAGGGGTTGAAAGGTGGGCAGGGGAAGGGGGAAAAGTAAGAACCAAGAGAGATTATGTAAAGGTGCAAATTTCCAATGATGAATGTTATTATATTGTATACCTAAAATGTACCAATAAAATAAAAAAAGAAAATTTGTATCTTCTAGTTGGAATAGAAATAATGGATTTTATGTATTTTATTAAGAGGAATAAATTAATGTGACTTAATCACACAAAAAAATAAAGATCTAGGGATATAGCTCAACCTGAACATCCTGGTTTCATTCCCCCCAAAATAAATAAAAGGGCTGGAGTAAGTACATTGTTTTGTTAGAGGATCAGAAATGGACTCAGACAGTGTATATAATGTTTGTTTTACACAATTAAAAGTACTAGGCATTAATTGCAAAACAATATGCATATAGTCGACATTTATGAACTATACATTTAAAACCAGGAAGATATAAACTTTGTTATATATTTTACCATAATAATAAAAGAATAAAGTAGATGTAACTATTAAAAGCTTTTTGTGGGTGTATTTTAGTACTGTAGATTCTATATCAATGATTTTTGTGTCTATCCTTTTACCAATATGATAATGTCTAGATTACTATAGTTTTGTAAGTCTTGAAATCAACTAGTGTGGTTACCAACGTTTTTCTTTTTAAAATTGCTTTCACTATTCTAGTTCCTTTGCTTTTCCACATACATTTTGAGCAGTTTTTCTATGTCTATAAATATCCCATGACTTTGAGTGTGGTAGAATTGAATCTATAGATCAATTTGGATAAAGCTGATGTTTAACAATATTGAGTCATCTAATTTGTGAACACAGTTTAGTTATCAATTTAGATATTCCTTGATTTTGCTTATCAATGTTCAGAAATTTTCAGTGTGTATGTTTTGTTACTTTTATACCTAAGAATTTCATGTTGTGTATGCTACTGTAAATGCCATTGCTTTTATAAACTTTATTTTCCAAATGTTTATTGTCATTGTTTCTGATGAGAAATCCACTGTGCTCAAATTGATGTTTCTTATATAACATATGTTTTTCCTTGGCTGCTTTCAAGGTTTTAAATTTATGTTTGGTTTTTAGTAGTTTGATTATGATGTATCTGGGCATGGTTTTCTCTGAGTTATTCTGTTTTACATTCATTAAGCTTCTTGAATCTGTTAATCTGTTTTACCAAATGTGGAATATTTCTAGCTACCATTTCCTTAAAATAGTTTATCTTCAATAACTTTTTTTCTTCTTTCCTTTTGGAGAAGAAAACACTGCAATATTGTCTCTCAGTTCCCTGTACTTTTGTTAATTTGTTTCAATATTGGAACTTCTTTGTTGTAATGTTCCTCACACTGGATAATAATTTTTTTAGCATTTTTAGTAGTTTTATTCAGTGTCTTCTTAGATCAATCTTTTGATTTTTTTTTTTTTTTTGGTACCGGGGATCAAACTCAGGACCTTGTGCTTGCGAGGCAGGCGGTGGAACCACTGAGCTAAATCCCCAGCCCAGGTTAATATTTCTTGACCAAATTTTAGTCCACTGGCTCTATCCTCCATCATTTCCAGTATACTATTTAGCGCACTTGGTAAATTTTTCATTTCAAATATGGTGTTCAGTTCAAAATTCTCCATGTAGGTTTTTAAATACTTTTTTCTCTTCTGAGGACATCTACTTATAGTCATTCCAAATATATTTTCTATTTGTCTTTTCTTATAGTTCTAACATCTGGGTTTTCTCAAGGGTAACATATGCTGATTGTTTTGTGTCTTGCAAATTAGTCCTGTTTCTGAGTTTAGTATGTCCAGTATAGATGATCTCCCAGACATTTTTACTATTATGTTGCTTAGAATCTACATCCTGCTGTATTCCTTTAGAGAACAATGATTAAAAAATCATGGAGAAATTTGCTTGCTTTTGCCTTTGGACTCCATTTATTCACTTATGTGTGTATAACATATCTCTAAATTGATTTTATATATTAGCAGTAGATTACTGTTACCCATTTTACATAACTTCTTTGGTTGGAGACCTGTATACTGATTCTTCTATACAAAATGTCAAGTGCTGAAAAGCCATTTTAGGTTATTGTTACATGATCAAACTACGTTTTTACAAAAATTGGTTTTCATTATGGGAGATTTCCTCTTGTACCATATGTATTCTCCAGTTATACATTTAATGATTTCTATTTTCATGAAAAGTGTGAGTAATGATATAGACATTTTATTCTTTATAAAGGTATGGCAAGATGTTTTTGAATAAGTAATTTTCATTCATTCACTAGGAACAAATGTTTATATGAAATTAGATGAATCAACATAAGCAGTCTTTTCTTTCTGATCTGGTTTTTGGAGAAAATAATTCCTCATCAATGAACCTGAGATTTAAATTTTGAAAGTGATTTGTATTACATGGTATAAATCTACATGTCATTCTATTTTTTGTTAGTACAATTTTTACATCCCACATTTCTATTCTTAAGAATAGCAATTATGACTTTGAATCATGAATTGTAGTTAATCATAAATTCCTTTGGGGAACAGAGGAGTCTATGGGCGGTGAAGTGGTAAATGAAGGGGAAAAAGGAAATTAGGAAAAATGTCTCTTTGCCTCTTTGTAAAACACATGCTGATTTTTGTTTTACCCAAGTTTCATTATATTCCTGAAATAAAAACTCCAGTTTCTCTTTCTCTTATCATCCTTAGTTTCCTACTTAATGCTAAGTCTTCTTTATTCTAGCCCTAGAACCATTTGGTTTCTCTAGAATAGATCACAAACATCGTGTAAACAAGACAGAAGCTACATATATTTAATATGTACTTAAGCACTCCCAAAAGGCACCAGTTGGTGACTATACATCCTCAGAATTCTCATACACACACACACACACACACACACACACACACTCACACTGCTAATTTCAATTATGTGACATAAAAAACACAAAATGATAGAACTGAGAACAGAGATAATATAATTCAACTCCTCATTATTTCAGATGGGAAAAGTGAGCACTTGAGAGGTTAACTGATATTCACAATGTCACACAGCCACATCATTGTTTTAAATTGAACACTCATTCAGTGACACTATAGCATTTTGTAAGGTAATATATATTATGCTGGCCATGTCATTGCAGTAGTCCAGTGATGCATTATCCTCTTTCATCCTTACTTTATAAAATATAAAAGTAATCAAAGTTATCTGTTTGTTGGGAGAAAAGCCAGTCTGCTTCTTTAGACCATAAGCATGAAATTGCATCTATTCAATGTTATGCTTTTTATAGCTACAAAATGGAATTTCATAAAATATCATTGATTCAGTTATTCAGCAAACATTTGAAGCTATGTTCTTGAGCCTGGTGGCCAAGGATGTTATGGGAAGGATGTGACAAAAAAAGTAAGATATGCTTTTCTCATTGCCATTGAAGAGCTGTGGAAGTTACTTGGAGAAGGGAGCAAAATAAACAGAAAATGACAAGTACAATAAAAACTTTATATCTGCAGGTTTAGAGAATTATGCAAATTGATTCTGTGTATACTGAGATGAGGCGCCAGAATAATGGAATGAACCCAATCACATGGGGTTAA